ACGGATGTCAATCGGCACTTGCTGGGTACGGGTGCGCACCAGTGGCAGCCACTGTCAGTGACCGATGGCATATCATGCGCACCAGTGTGCACTGACAGTACCGCACTAGAATTTTTTTGCAGGGATGGTTTACTCGGTCTTTTCTTCAAGAGCATAAGGTAATTACCTGTTAAGGGCTCTCGGACTATATATGATACTAACGGCACAGAAAAAACCTCTTTTGCAAAAATGTCAGGTAATTCTTTTCGAAAACATCATAACAAAAAGACGAAAAGAAAAACTTTTAAGCTTCGAAATTTTCCAAAAATATAGCAGAGAGAACTCAAAGTCATCACGAGCAGTGATGGCTCTTCAGCTCTTCATTTATCTGAATCTTCCCTTTGTTTGTTTGCCACAAAGTTCAATGATATTTAAGATTGTAAATTTTCCTTAAGCGATGATATACATTTCGAAAGTCTTCATTTCTCCGATGCATCCAGACTCTATACATGTATTTCTCAATTTCTATTTGACATGTGACTGGAGTTTAATCTCAAAACAAGTGAGATAAGTTGATATTGTTTGGTTCGCCATTAATTCAGGACCGAACTGACCTTTGCTATATTCCGAAAGTCACCAACGGTAAAGCAATCTTACACCGAGGTACTCACATTTGTGACATTAAGCTTTGAACGAATTTTCTCGCGTTTATGCATTTTTATTGAGATGTTGCACAGTCAGCATGAAAACGAGTCAAGCGAGTTCTTAGATTAGATGCATTTTCTGAGAGAAAAAGATTCCTTTCTAATCTTAAAACTGAAGTTGTTGAAGAGATATTTAGTTTATCTGATTTAGTTCAAAGGTACTGTGTTCGAACCTCGGCGCTAGCAAAGTCATGTAATAACCTTGGGCAAGTTACTTATGTCCTAATACCTCGAATCACCCGTCTGACAGCATACTAACTACGTTGTGACGTATAATACAGCTTCTGCGGCTAGTCCTCGTGGTTTTCGGGAAAGCTAGTGTGTGGTTAATGAAGTGTGTATGGGAAGCTCAAATAATTGGGCGAAAACACTATGCGTACGGCTAGCCTTCTGACCAGAGCTGCAATTAATGACTAGTAACGAGATGTATGACTAGAGTGTCCAAATCTCCTGATCCAAATCTCCTGATGTGACCAGAAGACTCCTGATTTTTTGACTTTTCTCTTGATGAAAATTCTCCTGATTTCGGGAGCTGATTTTTAAGATTTTCTCCTGGTTTCTCCTGATTTTCAATTCAATTTCCTGCATCGATTTTAGCGACAGTTTGAACCAATAAAAAAGCGGAGGAAAGAGTGATTTTTTTAGAAAAAATCTCCTGATCAACTCCTGATTTCGAAAAATAGGATTTGGGCACCCTGTGTATGACCATATCAGAAGCATGTCAACTGCGGGGAAGATATCGGGCTATTAAACTGCCATTCGGCAGCATCATACATCAGTAACGGTAGCCACAAGTAGAGATGTTAGGCCTCGTCTACACTACAAAAGTTAACGGAGCTCTAAACAATTCTATTGGCTAAAAGTTACTTTAAACCAGTAGAATTGCTGAAAGTTCCTTTAACTTTTGTAGTGTAGACGAGGCCTTAGCCGCGCCGCTGTCGCCGAAAAAAAATTTTGAAATTTCACGACGCCGCCGCCATAGACGGGATTTGATTGTTTTTGTTCGCCGCCGCTGATCCGAAACTTTTTCAAAACTTCTTTGAACAAAATTTATTGAAAATTATAACTTTTTTAAAGTTTTCGCGCCGCCGCCAAAGGTGGAAAATGTTTCTTTAGTTTTTTGTCGCCACCGCCAATCAAATTTTCAATTTGACACACTGCCGCTGATAAAGTAATCGGCTAACAGCCCTAATTTATATTTCTCAATTTCCCTTCTCATTTCCTCTCTAATTGCTGTGAACTCACATGGCTGTAAATAAAGAAAATTATTTAGCTTGTTTTATTATCTCTATCTGAAAAAACGTGTAAAATTAGTTAAAACATGTAACAGACACGAGTAAAAAATGATCATAATCTTCGCAGTAAACGTTAAAAAAAGAAATTAGTCCTGACAACGTGCTTTTCTTGTATCATAGGTACACACGTTTACTCTATACAAGTCATGTTAAAGGGGTCCGCCCCTCAGGAATCCAAGTAAAGGTGTAATAACTCCTAGACGATTCATCGTAAAACCTTCATTCTTTTTTTATTTTGAAGCTAAGACATTTATCTAAACTTTAATCCGCGGCGACTTTTGACTTTTGTTTTCTGTGCAGAGATAAGTGGCAAATACTCTGCCGAATTAGGGTTATTTTCAGAGGCCTGACTTAAAATACGTGTAGGGAATGAACAGAAGCGAAATTCAAAAATCGCCGCGGATCAAATTTTAGTTTTAGGTGTCTACTTTCATTTGAGGCTTCTCGCAGCTTTCTATACCTTCCAACAAAAAAGTTATAACGCTTTTGCTAAGAGCCCCATTTTGCCTCTTATCACGCAATAACTCGGCAGTGCTTCAACAGTTTCGATTTCAAATTCTTAGCATAAGTTCGTAGGGCAGTACGCATTAGTCGCTGGAAGCGCCATCGAAATTGGATGTAAGACACGGGAAAAAAAAATGTACTTTGCATGAACAAAAAATGTTCAGAAGTCGTGGCTCTCTCGATAAGGAAGATATGTACTTTAGAAAAAAAGGTTTATTATAACTGATTTTTTTAAATGTGACGAACGGCGAGAACCGGGCAGTCCGCCGTTTTTTATTCGTGCTTGGGAGAGCTTGTCATTCTTCCTAACTTTCACAAGTACTCATTTCAAGTCTTCACTCTCGAAATACAAGTGACTAGCAGGGGTCTCAAATTTCATGACTCATGGGGGACAGAACAAAGGACTGTCATGGTGATTCCTTTATTCTGTCACCCATGAGCCACCGAATTTGACACCCCTGATGGCCGGCCAGCTAAAAAGGGCACTTCGATGGAAGATGAACGCAACACTTTAAGTGCTCTGCTCTAAGCACTTCAAGAATAAAATGTATCCCATCGAAAAAAGTGCTTCACTGTGGGCTATTTTAAGTGTCTCACTCAACGCCCGAGGGCCGCTTGTTTTTTCACAATGTTGAATTTATTTGTCAACTTCTGAATTAATTGACGGTGCTTCAGAACTACAAGTGTCAGTATTCAGTTTACATAATGATACTTCTCGATTTCAGCAGTTGCGAAAAAAAGTAAGTTCATTGACCAACTGAGAAAACTGCTGTAAAGGTTTCTCTCAATGGACTTACGAACATGTATTTGACAGGTGTGAAAAGGAACGACGATACCAGCGTGTATATAATGTGATTATATTGATTTTTTATTTTTCTCTCTTTCTTATTGTTTCGCTTGTTCGCTGTAGCTTTTAAATATAAAAGAACAGAGAATTTAGTATACAGATTGGAGATGTGAACAAACAAAAAAAAATCAAAAACTGAAAACAAATGAAAAGAAAAAAAAAACGACAAGTTTTGAACATCATCTATATTTTTAATAATTAATTTTTTGACGTAACAAACATGAAGGAATATATATAAATGAAAAAATTTCATATACAGCACATACACACACACACACACACGCAAGTGAAAAGAGATAGAAGAAAAGATTGTCGTATAGGCATATGCTCGCAATTTTGTGTTTTCATGCACATACGTATATATATATATCACTGCATTTGAAAAATAAGAGTGGCGAAAAAAGCAATTAAAAAAAATGAAAAAATATGTGCAATTTAACGTAACGTAAGATCGTCTTAACAACAGCAAAAAGTCAAATAGTTGGTGAACATGAGATGAGGAGTCGTTTGTCCTGAAGCCATCTATGAGTACTTTTGGCTGCTGATATTTTTTATGTGAACTATTTCAAAATAAATTGATGTTTGACAACAAACAGAAAAATGAAAGAAACAACGATAAACAACAAGACTATTAACAATTAACAACGATCGTACGAGAGAAAGAGCGCGTGCGCGCGGAACAACAAAAAAAAGAAACATCATTTCATTGATTAACAGAAGCTGACGTGATCGAGAAGAATGTGGCAGTGACTTGGGATTAATGATTCACTGAGTTGTTTGTGTAAGATGCTTTCTGTGAGATAATTCTAAATTTCGTTGAAGTTATTTCCTTAAATCAAGTACGCACACCTATAAACAGACAAAATAACGATTTGTTAAATATTTAATCGTGAATAACATGTTACTTACTGTTCCATCTGATGCGCTGGCTCCTACTCTATTTCCTCGACTGTTCCAACAAACTTCAAATATACCACCTGTGCCACGATAACTATGCACAATGTCTCCTCTCTGTAATGAAAAACAAGTTAGAAAAACATTAACTCTAGAAAGATTACCATAACCTTTTAAAAGCGTACCTGTATTTCCCAAATATGAATACATTTGTCAAATGATCCCGTGGCTAAAAATCTTCCATCAGGACTAAATGCAACTGAATAAACTGGTTCTGAATGTTTCATTAATGTATGTAAACAACTGCCACGCTCAACATCCCATAGACGAACAGTTGAATCAAAAGACGCACTATAATAATATATATATATGAAAAATGATTTTCTTTGTTTCATGTTTAATTGATTATTACCTCGCCAATAGTAATGGTGCATTTGGATTCAACGTTCCAGGTCCCGTAGGACTCCATTTAATTGTATAAATTTCTTTATTATGAGCTTGTAAATTATGTAATGGTGTATCTTTATTCATTGTCCAAATCTGTAAAATAATCAAGGTTTTTATATGTATTTTGTAGTAAAAAAAAGACGGTAAACGCACTTTGAGTGTCATATCATCTGAGCAGGATGCTAATAATCGTCCCTGAGGATCCCATTTAATAGCATTTACTTCATTTTGATGTCCATAGAATGTTTTTATCGGCCTATCACATCCTAATTGACAGACGTGTATTCTTTGATCGGTACTGCATGATGCAAATGCCGTATCAGATTGCCAATCAACGTCTAATGCAGGTGCTTGATGATAAGAAAACTGTTGTTCACATGAACCAGAACTGGAGTCCCATATAATTGTTGTCTAAAAAGTGCACATTCGATTAAAACAAACAATACTGGTTGCGCTATGATTCAATAATCAGAATAGAAAAAAATTGTACGTACTCGATCAACACCAGCTGATAATATATAATTTCCTTTTTTATTCCATTTTAATGCAAATATTGGTCCTTTATGTTGCCCTAATGTACTGACTAGAGTGCCATCCGTGGACCAAATACGAGCATAGCCATCGTATGACCCTGTTGCCAGTTGTGTTCCAGATGGCTAAACAACAACAGTCTCTCATTTACATCTAACAAATATCTATGTTCAAACTTACATTCCAGTCTAATGATGTAACGTCTTTATTACTTGGTACTTGTGTATCTCCTCGTCGTATACAATGTCTTAACACCATTTCTTGTGATTTAGGTTCCATTAGATTCCATATTCGAGCTGTTGAGTCACCCGAGCCAGATGCTAATAGATCCTGCGTAGGGTTCCATGCACATATAAATACTTCTGATTCGTGTCCACGTAACACGGTAACACGATTTGGTGGAATATCGATACCGTTCATAAGACCTCCAGTTGTAACGATGGAGGTAGGAGTTGTGGAATTTCTTGAATTTGTTTGATGAATAGAGTCATAATCCATTGGTTCAGGTTTTGCCACTAAAAATAGTGAATTATCACTGATAATGTTGCTGCTTCGTTTCTCGAAAGAACATAATAACGTAAAGATGTTTATCTCAACCGAAAGTGAATTGAATGAATTTGAGTGAATTCCTACCTGTTATATGATTATCCATGTGATAATGTTCTGTTCCATTTGCCATACTACTATTTGCATAATGTGTTGAACTTGTCGACGATGGAATATGAGGCGATGATGTTGGTTTTGGCGACGTGTTCGTTATATGCATAAACGGTCGTAATGTTGACGACAACGATGAAGAAGTTTGTGACGTATTATTAGACGATATATTAGACGACGATGCTTCAATGGAATTATTATAGTTCGATGTTCCATTGGGAGTCGAATGATCGATAGTCGATCTTATCGAACTATTAATGTACGACCTACTACTGTTTTCATTATTTGTTGAAGTAATTGTAGTGGAAGAGGGTGTAACCGTGAGTGTTGTGGAGGTTTGTGGTGACGAAGTTGGAGATGTAGTACTTGCTGTTGCGTTTGTGACTGTTGATGATGAAGTATTTGATTTCTCTTGTTTAACATTCTGATTTTGGTTTAGAATTTCTTTTCGACGGGTCTCGATAGTTTCGGGTACTACTGCATCAATAAGACTAAGTGTTTCAAACGCACGTTCTTGTCCTTCCTAGAGGAAAAAAATAATAATTTGAGGAATATAGGCTTCTACTCGAATCAAAGAGACTATAAAATAAAAAATTGTATAAACAGATCTGAAAGAACAAATCTTTTTTGTTGTATTTTCACCAGTTCTATCTATTTCACCTTAAAGTGAAGCGATGACCATATTTTAAGATCAACTAATTGTTCCTCAAAGACAATGCATCAATAATGTTTTCGTTCAGCAGTTTGTTCTTAAAGGGAACTACGTGTTTTAAGAATACGGGCGCCCTTTTTATTTCTAAGCGATAATGTGTAAACAAACAAGTATGCAAGATGTTAAGTATTCCGAGCTACAACAACCATTTTTTGATTTTAAACCGGAATCATTGTTCAAACTCAGCGACTTTTCTTATACAAATCTTTAAGGAAATCCATCTATTAGACACTGTGTGAAAATGAAAGGAAAGGCAACTTCATTTACAATGTGACATTTATAAAGAATCTATTTTTGTATATTTTTCATCATAGAGTCTGTATTTTTAATTTTAAAAGAGTAGAAAGCGTTTAGACATATTGAAAAAACGCGTAGGTCATTGAAAACGTTGCACATTATTTTTATTTCTTTTTCTTCTAGTACTTACATCACCGATTGACAATTCTGCTTCTGTATAATATAACCCTTTTTGTATAAGTGAGAGTAAAGCACCTGGTGGTACAATGCTTCCATTAATTGATGTTTGAGCAATATGACTTTCAAGTCCAAATAAATAGGCTGAATGGACAAATCCTAAAACAAAAAAAATCAAATTATACTTACGAGGAAAGATCCCCAAGTGTGCAATCGCTTTTTGCTTAAAATCTAGTGGACAATAGGTGATCGACTGCGCTAAATCCGAATCTGACATCGGTTTGTGCTGCTAGGTCTCCAGAGATCGGGTATGTGGAAAACCAGGTTTACAGAAACTCTAAAAAATAACCAAAACCTTTCTTAATGAGGCACGATTGTAGACCGCAAATCTCTGATTAAAATGAGATATCTTCCAACTCTACACTACCTTTCTTGGCAAAGTTATAGAATTTACACGAAGTCCTAAATTAATTTCTTTTTATTTCTGTAGCTTTGAGCTGACAATGAACGTTTAGGGCTTTTCGTGTAAATTCTATAACTTTGCAAAGAAAGGTAGTGTAGAGTTGGAAGATATCTCATTTTAATCAGAGATTTGCGGTCTACAATCGTGCCTCATTAAGAAAGGTTTTGGTTATTGTTTAGAGTTTCTGTAAGCCTGGTTTTCCACATACCCGATCTCTGGAGACCTAGCAGCACAAACCGATGTCAGATTCGGATTTAGCGCAGTCGATTACCTATTGTCCACTAGATTTTAAGCAAAACGCGGTTGCGCACTTGGGAATCTTTTCTCGTTAGATAAGAAGTTCAATTTTGTCAAAAAAATTAAAAGTGATCTTAAGGCTGCGCTCTCTTCATCTAAAAACTATCGACTCTATCGAAATATCAATCTGATTGATGTTAAATTTTACTAAAATTTAACATCATTTAACATATACTAAAAACTTCAGATGAAATGTTTTTTTCTTTCGTATAAAATTTTGCTTCTTTACTGTGTTAATTAGTGAAAATGCTTTAGGTCACTATAAAAATCAGAGATTCTAAATTTAAAAAAGTCTGAGAGAGAACAAATAGAAAACAAATTATAGATCAGATTGAATCTTGAGTGTCTATGCTGAAAATGTTAGTCGAATCGGTTGAAATTTTTGACAAAATCGTTAGTGATGTTGAACAACAGCAAAAAACGAAAAGTCTCAAAAAGTTCAGCTGCGACTTACGTAAAACATCATGATATTGACGCGAAACATTATTCTATCAGACTAAAACTTGAGGGACACTTGATTACGTAAATCAATAAAAAACAACAACAACAACAGATAATTAGTTGTTTCTTTCCTTCTTTCTGGCTTTTGACGAGTGTACGTATATATGTAGTAGCTCTGAATATTCGACTAGTAGAAACATTTGTAATAATTTAATATATACGACATTAATTTTGTCGCTAAATACCTGATGCAACTGATATACAATCCCATATTTTTACAGTAAAAAAAATGAATTAATGAGTAAAATCAAAAAATTTTAATTTTTTAAAAAAGACCTATGACAGTCTTGTACGACTCTAGAATGTCACTAAGTGTGAGAAATAGAATTAATTTATGAATGCTAAACTTTATCGGAAAAAGCTCATTAATGAAAAAACAATTGAATTTAAATTTCTTGACATTCTTTTTATACAAGAAAAGGATGGAAAGATCATGAGAAACTCGAAGTGTGAACACGTTTTGTTTTACGCATATTGTTGTGGTACACGCAAGAAATACTGTATGCTAGATTTACTCATGTTCTTTTTTCTATTGAATAATAAATGAGATCGTTGAATAAGCTCTTGTTAACATGAAAGAAATGTTAAATTGTATGTTAGATTATCATCATTTACACACAGTTTTAAAACTATCATTACTAATATAAATGAATTCTCTTTTTCATTATTTTAGATAAAAGTTAAAAAATTCTGTTTAGTATTATTCCTGTATCATATAGATATAGACTATTTTGTAAAGTAATTTTATTTTTCTCTATTTATCTCTTTGATTTGTAGTTCAAAGTCCGTGAGATAAGAATAGAAAAAGGGAACCGGTTGAATATCTTGTTTAAGTTACCTATATATATACATGTACTCTAAAAAAGAATAAGAAAAAAAATAGGGCGTCATCAATCTACACCCACCAAAAACCCACACATTGTGTCGAAAAAAATTACCACTGATAAAATTAAATATGTCAAGACATATACAATACAAAAAAAAAGAGAAGAAAAGAACAAGAAATAGTGGAGACCATTGTCTTTATACTAATGGATACGATCACCAGATAAATAGAAAAAGAAAAAAATATTGTACTCAAACATACTCAGTAATAAACTATAAAGTACAACATGTGTATCATTTTAAGAGAATAATCAACAACAGTCCGTCACTTCGTTAAATATCCGTCTTTTTCTTTTCAAACAAGTGTGAAATCGTAAAATACTTTTTTATAGGCGTAGAGAAAAAAAAATAATAATAAATAAAAATTGTATTCGACACATTCTAACAGAATTTTAACATTAACGTACTTAAAGAACTTATAGTAATACGTATAGGTAAAAAAGAAAAAAAATGATCTTGAGAGAAAACATACATCTATTAGAGAATAAACACTACAGTGTATATACGACGAAGGACAAGGTCTCTACTCTACTTCTGTTTTTTTTTGACAAACATTTAAATAAGATTTTTTTCAATTAATTTTACATTTGATTGCAGGAAATAGTTTCCAATGAATGACATTCATCAAATTTTTTCTATGATAATTTTCCTTTAAAGAAGTTTCTGGTATTTGTCAAAAATAAATCGGTACAGATGAGTTTGACAGCTATGTTTGATTAACTGCTGATGCAAAGCATTTGTAAAAAACTAGACGGGACATACGAGAAAATGTGTAGTTGTATGTAACAAAGATAAAAATCAACCCAAAACAACCATCTTTCCTTTTTTTGCCTCAAATATGGAAAATATGAAGAAGAAAAAAACCGGAGAAAAACATAACAAGTAAAATGTTATTTCCTTCAACTATCTTTGATTCATAATAATAACAGAAAATATGTATGATTTAAAACGTGTCTCACGCTAACGGAAAACGTGAATATTTATTTCATTTTGACGAATCCTCCCTCACTTATGACTAGTAGCGTAACATGAAAATATCTGATTTTCCACTTTAGATTCTTATTTTTATTGTATATTACAGATACATCTATTTTTTTGACATTTTTATTCTTCTATTCTACCAAGATAACGGTATGATTATTCTTTAAGAGCCATTAAAGATAAGCCACGACCTCACGTGCTCAATCGACCATCTCAGATTTCTTCCATAATAAGGGCTTCTTTAGAGCAAACAGTTTCATGAGTTTTGGCGAAAATCGCAGGTTCTAAGGTTATTGCATTGCTGAAATATTCAATTTTTGCAAAGAGCTCGAAAACGCACAAATTCCGGCATCTAAGGAAACTGTCAATTTAAACTACGTACAACTCCGTAATGACAAATTACTTAGACTTAAGAATTCTATCATAACTACTAGATAGTGTCTACTATAAATTCACATAACGGTGAGCTCCAGACATGCTTTCGTTCTTTTACAGTAGATGATCTCGTCAAAACCCAAATCATCGATCCGGTCATTTTGGAGAAAGGTTTTCTCTTAGAAAACAGAGTAAATTTCTCGCCCCCTACGATATTGTTGGAGTACACTAAGTGTACTATCATGAGCCATGGTGGGATTTTTCGGATCTTTTAAAATCCTCTGGAAATCAAGTGATGTTTCTAGAACACCAGACCATGAAATTTTTCAATTGAATTTGGAATTTTCACATCACCCATTCTATAGAGCATATCAAGTTACACATGTCAAGCTATTTTTATAACTATTCGATTAGGTTTAACTAAGTTTTAAAGTTTTCAAACACTAGAGTATTACCATGCACGTGTATATGTATGCTATTAAGCAATACTTGAACTAAAAGTTTCTGATTCCATCAAAACTAACGAAAGCTCATGAAACTGTTTGCTCTAAAGAAGCCCTTATTATGAAAGAAATCTGAGATGGTCGATTGATCACGTTAGGCGTGTCTTTAATGGCTCTTAAACAAAACAAAACAAAAAAAGTTAACAAGAATTTGTTTGTTGTTTACGTGGTAGATATTTTCATGTAACGAAATATTGAAAGAAAACGTTGGGTGTACTAAAATAGTCTTAAGATATGCAGTAATACAAATCAAAATATTATTTTATCACATATACTTCTCTCTATTTCTTGTCTATGCGTTTTTTCAAGTTGAAATTATCCAGACAACATACTTTTTTGAATATCCTTTAGCTTTTGAAAGGATGACATTAAAAGTGAGTATGAGTTAAACGAATCGAGATCAAATCATTCGCCTATATAAAAATAAATATATGGATGATCAAAATGTACTAGTTACAAATGAATTGTTAATAATTAAGAACGTGTTCGACAGCTATACACTGTAGATCATTTTGTTGTCACCTTTCAAAGAGTAAAAACAAAAAACATTCTGTCATCTAGATGAAATCATTGTCTATTAAGTGTGTAGGTAGGTAGAATCAGTAAATGTTTATTTGACCTACTTTCTAACCTTGTTTCATAATTTAGATGTCACGTGTATGTGTTTTTTACCCGTTTCTCTATTCCCTGATAAAATTACAAAAAAAATAAGTGAATATTTAAATATATTCTATTATTTCTTATTAAAAGAGATTTAATTCTAATATAATTTGACAAAAAGAACCATCTGTAATTTAATTCTAAAAAATATTGTGATTAGACTTACCTGATTCTGATAAATATCTATAAATAAGATAGTTCACTTCGTCACTTGTAAAACTCATTCTTTCATTTTAAATATTCATATACGATGCAATCTAAAATAAGACAGAAAAAAAAATTCATGTCAAAAAGTGTACACGTCTATTTGTCCTACATATACCGGAAGCTCAGGACTAAACGAGACTATCTCGAACGAGAAAAAAAATTCTATAACAATAATTGTATACAAAGAACAGTTCAAAGTTGTTCTCTTTTGTTAGATGAGCAACGCTCTGCTATTAACATGTACCTTTAATTCAAGAGCGGAACTATAATTTTATAATATGCAAAAAAAAAAAAAATAATTAATTTGAGACATCATCACCATTATCATAAGGCAGAAACTTAATGGAGATTTTTTTAATTACTCAACTAAAAACAATTTCTAAAGCACATCCATCTAATAAGCAATATTATTTTTAAATATGAAATAAACATTTTCAACATATTTCGACAATTGAACATTTCGTCTACTACTAATTATGACAATAGAGACATATTTTCTCTCTCTCTCACACTTCTATTTTCGACAAATTTTTTATTCACATCTTACAGTCGAAAAAGTAAAAAATGTCTCTTAATATATTGTATCCATTTCGATTTACCGTATTTTACTTTTTAACCATAGACTGACAACATAAACATGACAATAACAAGATATTATATTTTTGCTAAGATTATTATCATTATTTCTAACATTAGGATAAAGTCAATGATATCAAACATACAAAAATGGGCGAATAGAGAAATAATAATAAATAAAATACTTTACTAGAATATTTACGTTCTTATCTTAAATTATTATCCTACGATTTTTGTTCACCTACATACAACATGTTATGTTCTATGCATATATCTGTGTGTGTGTATGTATATATACAAATACGATTAATCGAATCAAATGGACGGTCAAAATGACATGCTTATTCTTTGTTATTAAAGCGCTAGTCTAATTTATTAATAATGAACTTTTGATTTGATCTAAACATTGTTAAGTTCATTATTTTGAAGAGACTGTACACAAATTATAGAAAACATAGAAGACGTATAGGAAACTTTTATTTCGAATAGAAATTAATGAGAAAAAAATAGACTATATCTCTCATTTAATTAAATTTTTAATTAATTTTTGGAATGTGAAACTTTAGGTATAAATAAATTGATAAAATAATAAAGAATTATCTAACACATAACCAATGGCAATGATAATACATTAAAACAGTTATTATTTATACTACTTCCGTTCTTTTTTGAATATGAAACTTAACTATAACTAAACAATGATCAAATTTTAATATGCTCGATTTAACATTTTTTTTTTTTATGTAAAAAAATAATCTCCGATATATTATCGATTAGAATTTTATAATTTATTAACTTTATCTAATTAGAAACGAAAACATTATTGTTGTTGTTCTTGTACCAACCATGGTGAGAGAAAACAACTTTAAAGCCATAATTTTACATCGAATGGTTAATGACCTTATAAATGGACTTTCATCCTATAAAAGAATGTCACATATATATCATAAATAATAAACTCCAAGAATCATCTCAAGTTCAAGGACACCAGCTTGATATAAAGAAAATTTTGATAACAACAAAAATTGACTGAAACACAGACACACACACACACATATTAAAACACAATGTACACTTTTCTCTTTTAAACCGACCGAGTGAAACTCGAGAGGGCTTATTCTGTTCCACCATAAAAATAATTTTCTTCTTCTTTTTTTCACATGCTTTTGTTTCTCGAGTCAGTCACTCGTTTTTAGCTATTTCTAATCGTAGAGATTTGGGATAGAGACTAATAGAAAGTCTAAGAGCTATAAATGACACATCTGAAATGGGTTTTTTCGATATACCTTTTCATTAGGGCGTACTATATGAGTGAAATGTTTTTGAAGAAACATTTCACTCGGTCGACTTTTTCCTATTCTTCCCGAAGGGTAGTTGAAATCTAGTTTTTTTTTTTTCTATTTCTAAAAAAATACATGCAGCTCTATACATCTCATTACAAATATTGCACACAGTGTTGCTTTTTTTTCTTCTTCTTCTATTCATTTTGTCGTCGTCGTCGCCGCCGTCGTTTGACTCATAATCATAATAATAATAATAATAATAATAATGGAATTGTAACTTTTTTCAAATGTAAAAAAAGAAAAACCGGCAGCATTGTATTTTATTTTAAGACTTTTTTCTTTCTTCATGTGTATTTAGAAGAAAAAGGTGTAGTAATATATTATCGACCCAATTATCACATACGCAAGTAGTTTCCCCCCTCCCTTTCATGACAGTTGACTTTTAGGGTATTGAGGTCACATCTGTCTGTAATAGTATAGAAACGAATAAATCGAATAAATGAAATGAACTTCCACAAATAATGATATAACAATATTATTCTACTTTCTAAGTACTAGAAAAATGTCATACAAATGTGACAGAATTCAATATTTACGAAAGAAAAAAATAGAGAAGATTTTTTATACTACATGTCCTACTGCCGTCTGTTATCACTTATTTTTCAAGAGCAAGATAATGAGATTAATTTCAATAATCTTTTAGAACTTTACTTTTTTTAACATTTTTGATCATATTAGAAAAAAAACTGCCAAAGACGATTTCCAACTTTTTTGATATGCACTTTGGCACTTTTTTTTTTTTGTCGAAAAGAAACTCTAAGCTTTAGAGCCAAGAAAAGAGTCATAATTTCATAATCTGTGTTCATCTGTGTTGAAATAACTATAATTAACTAAGTCTAAGTTTGTCCAGAAACTCTTTTCTCTGGGTGTTGCAAGAAGAAGAAAAAAAATTGACTACGAAGGTTGAATGGTTCAATAAGACATGTGAATGACACATATAGTCTTTCTACAGAAACGTATAAACTAAATGTAGAACAGATATCGTATAGTATATGGAAAAAAAAGTTTCAGAATTTTTGAATATTTCATTAAATCGAACCGATAGAAATACGAACATGTTGTTGGTTTTTTCCCTTATTTTTAACATCAAAAAATAATCAGATGAAAATAAACATAGATGATTAATACTTAAACAAATGTAATAATATTCACCTTGAAAATAAAAAAACAGCATGGTACATTGAGTTTCTCGTGCATATGCATGCATGCTCGCACACTTACACATATTTTTTCTATTACTTATAATATTTTTTTGAGTTTATTTTATTTATTAACTCTCGGCTACATGAGTTAGAAAAACGAGAACAAAATTTTTTTTCTATTCTTTTTATGCATCGTTGAAATTTTTATCTACATATATATATATATATTTTTTTTTTGTTCCGATTTAATTTCAAACATTCGCATATACGCACGCTTCTGTCCAGGTAACAATGTACAACTAAATATAGCCATTCTGTCAAGTTACTTAACTACTGATAGTGTCATTTTAAAAGGTTTTTTTTCTCTAACAAGACTATCATTTTTTTTTTTCTTGTGTTCTACCTACTAACATCCAACATATGCCATAAAGGTCATTTAGTCTTTCGGTTCCTAATCGTAATCATCCATAAACTCGATTATTGACGTAAAACATAGAAAGAGAGAGAAAGAGAGAGAGAGGAAAGCGTAATGTACACCTAATAAAACGCTAGTAGAAAGAAAAAGAAAATACGTAGTAAAAGAAAAAGAATGGAATAATGGTGTTTTTATATTTTATTATTCTTATGCTAAAAAATAAGTTGGCTGTTATTGTTCTTTCATCTCGTTGTCTCTTATATTATTATTATTCCTTAAAGTTAATAGCAGAGGAAGAGAAAGAAAGAGAGAGAGACACAGCTTAGAAGACATATGAGAAATTTTCCTTTTTTGTCTTTTCCTTATTTTAATGCGTCTCACAATGTTATTGTTATTGACTAATATAGTTTTTTCACAAGATTATTATTATTAAGAGAAAACCTATTTACACACACACACATATGAAATAACATGATCGTGCATATTTACGCAATGGACCAAAAAAGAACAAATCGGCCTGTCCACGTAACGGTCGCCTTTTCCTGATTCCGTCACGATTTGTTGTTTTACGAGTCTCGTGGCGCCCGAACAAAAGGAAACTTAAGGACCATTTACATCTAGTCTTGTAGAGAAAAGTGAGCTGAACAAAATGTGATATTTTCTGTTTCCGCAGAGTGTCGTGGTTCTCAAATATAACAAAAGGTTTACGAGCCCCGGTTTGGCGGACTTCTGATTGGGGCTCGTAAAAAGTTTGTTGTACTTGACGATCACGATGATCTGCGAAAACGGAAAAAAAAATCACATTTTGTTCAGCTCACTTTTCTCTACAAGACTAGATGTAAACAATTCCTTATTTTTTTCCATTTGTTCGAACGCGAAGAGACTCGCAAAACAACAAAAATCGTGATGGAATCACGCGTTACATGGACAGGCCGAAATAATTTTTTATACATGATTTTTCGTATGGCAGGCAGTATTTTTTTTCAAAAATGAATCACTTAGGGTTACGTATATTTAAATATTTAACAGACAGATCTTATTATTTTTTTCAACAAAAATATCAGAAAATTATATTTGCAGGCTATAGTCTATGCTCTATAAATTAGATTATCACTATCGCAAAAGCGTTCACTAGAGCAGCCGACAACCATATATTTATGAATTGTAACATTCGTAAAACTCAATAAGTTTGAAACATGGATATAAGGTGTGAAAAACATCCGTATAATTAAAGAAAAGAATCTCGAATAAACTAGTTCACTTTTACAAAACAATACATTAATTGAAGCAGAAAAACGAAAGAGTGTATTCGAGATTCTTTCCTTGATAAGTATATTTATCTATACAACGTGATTTTTACTCTCCTGAGCTGATCTATATTCAAAGTAAATGTATTCTTTATTTCTTCAAAATATGATAGTTTTCAATGGGAGTACTTCAAAAAAACTTCTTCTAAACTCATAGCATCGTGATGGAAAATCGGTTCGTTATATGAACTGAAAATAAAAAATGTTTGACTGTCGTTCTATTTCTAATAATTCATTCGTTTACTTATTGGCCCATTCTTTCGTCATAGATATAATTCAAGAAAACAAAATCAGCCCACAGATGATTTTTTGTCTAGAAAGTGACATAATTCTGTCAATACCGAATAATATATATATCTTTAATGGAATCAAAGTGCACTGAAAATATATTTGGAGGAATAGAAAATATAGAACAATATGAGAATGAAAAGAGAGAGAAAAAAGAAAAACATTGGTAAGAATTGACACATATAGTAGAATTTTTCTTTTTTAGCAGTTGCAACTTACAAAACTGAAGTGGTTTCTCGTTTTTTTTCTCTTTCATATAACAATGTAAATAAATAGAAGATCAAGTTGACTTTTTTTTTCATAGAAATTTTTATTTCAGTATTACTAACAAAGAAAATGTCGTAAAATAAAAAGAGTGATAACATATCTGTTGTGCACTTGTGTACGAGTACATGACTGTACAGGACAGCGAATGAAATCGACTCTTTATTCTCTTTAACCCTCTTTCACTGTCTAATCATCTCTGTTGAAAAAATATTTTTTTTATTCTTTGAAAGAAAAAAACAATCTTATAATGTTTTATTGTAATCAATATACCTTAAAAAGTTAACTCAATCATGATACTTCAAGACAGTGCAGCAATAAAAAAACTAATTGAATTTAGAAAAAATCATCTACTAGAATAAAAGAATGGTCTTAAAAGTTTTCGTCGAAATCTTCTACATGCCACTATTTAACTGTAGCATTTCAAACATATTTAGTGGAAGTATATATAAAACTCTTCCAGGGAATATATGTCGTGGTTTGGAAACCATTCATTAAAGTTGAATACTAGCTGATTGCGCACTCCTAGTGCCTGATTATCTTGAATAGTCATATCTATTCAACTTTTCTAGTTAATTCACATATTTCAAACATTGTTATGGCATTAAAACGTGATGTCCTTGAAAGTTTACACATTTTCATATGAATTTCTCAGTTACGTTACATGTTCAAGAGTACCATATTTTGTCTTGTGACTAGAGGCGAGATATTTTAAAAATCTTATTGTTTTCTTTTCTCATATTGTTTATTCAAGCCAACTTTTAAATGCAAATTGTTGCTATGCCAAGAAAGTTTATAGTTAACTGGTTGCTCAACGAGAATCAAATCTTATCGTCGATAATTATCAGCGAGCTTTTTATGTCTGACTTTTTGTAATCAAGATTGTTTGTAGTTACTAGCAATTGTAGGTGACCACTTGAGTCGTTCGATTAATCTGTTCAAGTTAGACCTTCATACGGACAACAAGAATTACACTTTAGTGCTGCTTCTGTAATAATTTTGGTTTTACTATACAATATTTGCAGAATTTATAGAAAAGTATACACTTTGTAAAAACTGAACTGTTGAAGAGAAATCGTTTGGTAGAAGAAAGTTGGAGAGCTCCGATCGTTGCCATTCTATAGTCCAAACTGGGTGCATCTTTCTACAGAAAACTGAGATTCAAAATTATCTGCTGACGACTGAGACCCTTCAGAGTTTTGAGACAATAAACGACACATTTAATCCACGATAGGAAAAGAATGTAGATACTCTGGTCCATCAATTCACATAGGAAATCGTATAAATGTTTTTAGAAAACTTTTTTTGATAACTTTCAAAAATTCTAAAGCATTTTTTCTCTGGACATAGTTTTGAACCTTATTTTCCTACAGAAAGATGCCCCAGGTCTGGGATATAGGACAGCATCTCGCTAATTCTTTCCAACGTCATTATTCCAAAAATATTCATGGCCATTCTTTTTCTCTAGTAGATCGCAGTTCTTTTAGGCAATGGAACCGAAGATGCTGCTACATCCGAAAGAATATTTTACGAGTTACATTTCGAGTTATATTCTTTATTTTCGTTCAAAAGACAATTGTCAAAAAGTATCATTTTCTCTACGATACCTATCACCAACAACGTGTCATCGTGACTATAATTCTAAAATAGGATAATTCGGTTAACTGATTTACGTGACGTGACTTATTACAAATTTATTCATGCTATCAGCATAAAACCTTAATCATTGAAGTGTAGATGACAAAAGAATTTTATTCTCAAGCTCATCGTCGTCATTTTGGTCGAATGAAAATTTGCTGTAAGAAATTTCTACTATCACACAATAATCAAAAAAAGAAAAATGTCTTGTAGTACTTAATTTCTTTTTATTAATTCGAAACAATTTTTGAAAGGAAAACAGTTGAACCGTTTCTATCGATTACTAAAACTCTTTACTAATTACTATGTTCTCTTA